TGTAGTCTAATGAAAAAAGCCGAGAGCCGTGACTAATTACAGCACCAGCTGTCGCCACACTTAACGCGGAGAGGGACTTAATGGCTTCGATTAATTACCTGTTGTGATCGCTTCAGTGAGCCCGCTATTAAGCAACCACGGGGAGCGCCTGGGAGGATTACGGGCGGATCGATAAGTACAAGCTGTCGCTAATAAGTAACAGCTGTGGTTAAATGGATGTTATACACAATGACACTTTCTAGTACACGCTAGTGTTAGTCTTTTATTTCAAACGGCGTACAACAAAGAAATTAAAAGCAAACTAATTAAAATGAATTTCAAACAAATAAATTATACAAAGTAATTAAATTAAACAACAAGTAAACAACAATTAAAAATAAAATTTAAAAATAATAATTTAAAAAATTTAAAAAGTTAAAAAATTAAAATCAAATTACGTAACTCGTTAATAATAATTAAACTAATTATAAAATTAAATTAAAAAATTTAAAAATTTAAAAAATTAAAATCAAATTACGTAACTCGTTAATAAAAAATTACACATAGATGGACCATCATACTGATGGTCAGTAGGTGCGATCAATATTAACTTGGCCCTTGTACGGTGGTTGACAAGAACAAAGGATCGCATGTGGATCGATACGTGTCGGGTGCCATTAGCGAGTAACAGGTGTCTCTAATGGATGTTTGTAGTCGACATAAACCCACGATGCATGACCAAATTAATTAGGCGGACCATCATTTGATGGCTGTGTGTGGAATCAATATTAACGCGCCCGTTGTCCCGATGGCTCCGTGGGTGCGATCAATACATTCCCATTAAAAGCGCAGCGCGTGTCAACAAAGGATCACGGATCGATAAGTAACAGATGTGGTTAAATGGATGTTCTATTTTCGGTAACCGTTCGTTGTGTTGCTGAATGGTCCATAACGTTGTTGATTTTTAAAACTTGAAGTTTATAATCTTAAGCAAATTTACCACCACCACCACCACCACCACCACCACCACCACCCGCTTGGTAACAGGTGTTCCCACACTTAACGCGGAGAGGCACTTAATGTACGTCGTTAATTATCATGACCTATCAAACCAAACAGGGAAACTCGGTGAAGCATAACAAAATTTAATTAGGTGGGACATCATGCTGTGATGTCCCGTGGGTGGGATCAATATAAAACCCATTAATCACTACGAGGCGCGTGTCATGGTAACAGATGTTCCCACACTTAACGCGGGCTTTGTGGTTAACCACTTAGCTCTTTCGATTAAACGCGGAACCCCTGCTGTGATCGGGTCGGCGAACAACGCATAAACCCACGAGGCGTGACCAAATTTAATTAGGTAGGCCATCATTTGATGGCCCGTGGGTGGAATCAATATAAAGCCCATTAAAAACCGCTCAGCGTGTGTCAACAAAGGATCGCGGCTCGATAAGTAACACAGCTGTCGCCTGATCGTTATCTTTAATGAATGTTCTATTTTTGTAACGTTCATTGTGTTGGAGAATTTAACCTGTTATTTGTACACGTTAGTGTTAGTCTTTTATTTAAAACATACATACATTCAAATAAACAGTGTCTTTTATTTCAAAAACCAGACATCAAAGAAAAGAAATATATTAAATAAACAAATAAACAAAGTAATTAAAATCAAAGAAATAAAATGAATTTCAAACTAATTATAAAATAAAATTAAAAATAAACAAAATAAAAATAATTAAAATCACATTACGTAACTATTGAATAAAAATTACACAATATAAACAAATAAACAACAAGTAAACAAACAAAGTAAACAATTTAAAATCAAACAAATAATCAAATTACGTAACTCGTTAATAAAAATTAATTAAAATTACAAAATTAAATTCAAACTCATTAAAATCCAATTACGTAACTAGGTCAATAAAAATTAATTAAAAAGTAAACAAATAATCAAATTACGTAACTAGTCAATAAAAATTAATTAAAAATTTAAAAAACTCATTAAAACTCATTAAAAAACGCATTAAAATTACGTCACAAGGTCAATGATTACGTCATAATGTCACTGATTACGTCACAAGGTCACCAAAAGGTGACCCACCCTCCGCTCCTCCGCCACCCTAGGGTGGGGGAGTATTTTACTATATGTCTTTGCGCCTTCACCCTTCGCTCCTCACCCAGTCTCTGCGCCAGGCTCACCCAGGCTGGGAGTATTTTACTATATCTCATTGTCCCTGCAGCTCCTCCGCCAACCCCAGTTGGCGTAGTATTTTACTATATGTCTTTGCGCCTTCACCCTTCGCTCCTCACCCTGCGATGCGCCAGGCTGGGAGTATTTTACTATATGTCTTTGCGCCTTCACCCTTCCCTGCTCCCGAGTATTTTGCTATATGTCATTGTTCCTCACCCTTCCCTCCTCCGCCAAGAATACGACCCAAAAGCGACCTAATATACTACTCTTGTGATAAATCTTTTTTTTTGTATCTCACATTAAGCCTATAAAATCTCGAGTCGATCTAGTGAAGCCCAATGAATGGGACCTCCTACCTGGTAACGCTATTTGTATAGGCCACACAGTGGCGTAGCGAGGTCGGGTGTCACCCGGTGCGGCACTTAATGGTGTCACCCCCCAGAGGCGTAGTGACCCTTCCCGGGGACAAACTTTCAAGTTTTCGATTTGCACCCCCCCTCAAACTTTCGATTTGTACCCCCCCCCCTCAAGTTTTTCTCTATATATTTTGCTATTTTTTGCCTTGGTGTCACCCCCCTAAATGGTGTCACCCGGTGCGGTCCGCACCCCCCCCCCCTCGCTACGCCCCTGAGGCCACATGTCCTACATCCCCAACTTCAATACGCACGTTTAGCCTTATACTTAGGCCTATTCTCCATAAATGTGACCCCGGAAGTGTATCTATATATATATAATTCTCTTCTGGGATCAGTTAGAAAACAAGCTGCAATCGCGCCTTTGCAGTCCCCTCTCTTCCTCTCTATCACTACCACCCCCACCCCACCCCCACATGATCTGATGAGCGGTGTTCACTCTGTTTACATTTTACAATCATAGAGACGGGTTTGGTGACGGCTATTAGGGGCAGATAATTTAGTTTGAAACGATTTTAAACTTAGAGGAGGTAACTAAGAGGAGGCTGCTTTCACGTGGGGGGGGGGGGGGGGGGGGTTAGTGTTTTTAAGCAAATATTTTCAATGGCAGCATTGGTATTGTCGAATTCACAAATTATAAATTACTGAAAAGTAGAAAAAAACAACTAAATAGCGGCGTATGATACGCAGCGGGTCGGCTCGTAGCTAATAATAAGATAGTCCAGGGGTTCCCAACCTTTTTACTTTCTCGTATATACGAAGTATAGAGAAAGTATTGTAATCGTGCAAAAAAAAAATCGAGATTTTTACAAATCTCGACGTTTTACACCTCACTGATACGGAAAAACATAATTTTGCAATCTTGTCCGTATGTCTGTGTGTCTGTGTGTGTGTCTGTCTGTCTGTCTGTCCGTGTGTAAACACGATTACTTGAGAACCGTTACAGCTAGGTTGATGAAATTTCATATATAAGTATTTTATCAAAATCGTAGATCCGTATCAACTTTTGAGCGATTTCCGATGACCGGAAGTGGTACTTTTCCTACTTTGAATTTTTCAAAAGCCTATAACTTGAGTACTATTTCAGATAGATAAATGAAATTTCACATGTAAGTAAAAGATCTAATTCTCTACCTTCTGTTAAATTTTGAGTAATTTCCGTTGACCGGAAGTAGTAAGTTACGCTACTTCCGATTTCTCAAAAAACTAATGTAAATTTTTAAAGTACTAATAATATTGCGCACTATTATGCGCTTTTTTATTTGGCGTTCACTTGGTGTGCAATTAATTTGTCTACGAGATTTTATTCTATTTTTTAAAACTTTAAGAATTTAAAATGGATTAAAAATCATGTCTATAGCCCGAGTTCCCATCCCCTGTTATTTTATATAAGAATATTCGAGAAAGTTTAGGGGAGATCACTCCCGGTTTATTTTACTTTAGAGCACATTCTAAAATATCGGTAGGGTGGCGGGCACCACCTATTTTAAATCGACAAACTCCTTCCAGATGCGTAACGACCTTTCCCGTCACCCGGGTACAAAACTTTCGATTTGCACCCCCCCCCCCCTCAAACTTTCGATTTGCACCCCCCCCCCTCAAACTTTCAATTTGCACCCCCCCCCCCCCAAAAATTTCGATTTGCACCCCCCTCAAACTTTCGATGTGCACCCCCCCCTCCCCCCTTAAACTTTTGATTTCCATTCCCTTCAAACTTTCAATAATATTTATGAATTTTTTTTTGTCTCTGTCGAATAGTGAGAGACGGGCACTAACGAATCGTTCGGCGGGCGCCATGGCGCCCGCGGGCACAGGGTTGGGAACCCCTGAGATAGTCCATAATATGCTATTTTAAGTTGATTTTTTTTTTCTTGAACTAAGTTGAAGTAAAGTAGACAAAAGGTTTATAGGCCTACATAGCAAACACTCGCACCGCTTACCATACACAAGATCGTTGACAGTGATTTAATGTCAGGTAAAACATATAAGCTTTGACCTTATACAATACTATAGCTGCAGACACTCGGGTAGAAAATGAAGTGATATGGTGGTCGTTGGTATGGAAAGTAAATACAGTAGAAGAAATTAATTCGTGGTTTATTTACATTGTAATAGTTGACTGACTACATACACAAACCTACAAGCATATTGGCCCACAGACTTAGGCTTATACACAAACACACAACACACACACACACATATACATACTTATATATATATATATATATATATATATATATATATATATGTGTGTGTGTGTGTGTAGAGAGAGAGAGAGAGAGAGAGAGATTATAAATGATTGTGTTCAAAACTAAATACAATTTGTATGGAAAGTTTAGATCTTCTATCTTACTGGGCACAGCAATGTCCTGAGATTAAAAGTTTAAACATATAGATAGAACGTTTAAAAATTAACTTATTGGACAGAGCAATGTCCTGAGTTTCTCTCTCAGCTCATACGTCATCACCCAGTGGCGGACGACGACAATGTTGTCCTCTACAACAGCATTCAACAGCTCCGTGGGAAGATTGTACGGGTGCTTCTCGTCAACAAGAACGATCACTCGGTTCGGGTTGGCAGGCGTCTGCGCGTAGATGGCATATCTGAACGCGAGCATCATCCAATCATCGTTCAGCAGAAAAGTTTGGTTGAAGACGAGCACGATTCGCCAGCTCGAGTTGATGGCCTCCACAATTTGACTAAACATGTGAGGTCCAACTAAAATGTCACGGTCACGTATGAATGTCGTCATTCCTAAGTTATCTTCAACAAATGACCGTAGTGTATGACAAGCAAATCTGTAGTCGTTTTCTGCATAGCCAATAAATACTCCAGTTTTATAGTCAGCGGCAGTTTGAAATTTAAATCCTCCAAAAAGTTGAATTACATAATGGGCAATGTAAGTCAGTTTTTTGTTAATCACAAAAGTAGACAAAAGTCCAATTATAATTAAACAAAAAACGACTAAAGAGATGTGCAGAAAAAATTCTCCCCAACATTTCCTCCATAAAACGTCCAGGTTCCTGTATGTGCTTGTGTTAGTCACGACGCCATTTTGGTCCATGCAAGAAAAAATACCACCTTTGTCGAATGTCACATTTGTGGACATCAACCATTGGAGAAAAGAAAGACTCTCACATCCACATGACAATATATTCCCATCAAGGTAAAGCTGAAATCCTTCTTTGCCTTGAGCAAATTGGTCAAACATTTGGCGTGTTTCTACATCCAGGGTGACCAAGGCGTTGTTGCTAAGGTCAAGAAAAGTTAAATTTGGAGTGTATTTTAAATTAAACGGCACGACACAAAATCGGTTATCTGCTAACCGTAGCATCTTTAAATGTGAATTGTTGGCAAACATATCATCGGCCAGTAATGTTAACGAGTTGGAGGAAAGATCCAGCCTCTCTAGTGATTTTAATTGTGAGAACAATCGACCAGATTTCTTGGCCATAAAATTAGCGTCCAACTGACAGTTTGACAGTACCAAAGTTTCCAGTTTTGGCAAGTAATCAAACCAATTTTCTGTCATAATAGACATGTGAGTGCTTGATAAATCTAAATATCGCAACCCTATCAGTCCATGCAATGGTTCGCTAAAATTTTTAAAACCACTATCTGAGAGATCAAGCAGTTCGAAATTTTTCGCTCCCACAAAGTTAAATCTTCTATTAAACTTAGATGATGAAACAACTCTCGCCGCTCTGACGATCTTTAAACTCTTTGAAAAGTAAATCTGAATACCTCTGCTCCCCATTTCAGTCGAAGCTTTCTCTTTTGTTACTATTTTAGTTGAAGTGTCTTGTAATTTATCTAAATCTGTTGTTTCTGTTGGCGTAAAATATGCCATCCAATTAAAGTCTCTTGAATGTGTAAAGCGTAGCTCATCTCCAATGGCGAAAAATTTTAAGTTTTTCAACCTCAGTATTTTCACCAATGCCAATTCGTTGCCTTTAATAGGATTTTGTGAAATATCTAACGATCTGAGGCATGAGTCCCACATTTGACTGTTTAAAGCCTCCTCAGTTATCACGAAAATGTAGTTATCACAAATATTAAAACTCCTCAGGCAAATGTTCGTTAAATTTTCCGTCATATTTGCGAAAAGGAAGCTGTCATGTCTTAGGAGACTTTGGTCCGTAGCGAAAAAATTATACGGTATCTGATAAAGAATAATGGACGACATGTTTTTACCTCTGAAAGGCCATAATAGACTTAGCGTTCTTCTAATACCATAAGGCACCTTTTCCAAGTGAAGAACATCTAGGTTTCGTAAAGGCACAAAAATGTCATGGCTAATCCCTTCGATATTCTCTAAAGCAGGTATGTACAACTCTCTTAAAGCTTGCACATTTTCAAATGTTTTGCTTGTCAGATATTTCGCTGATCCTCCAAATTCCAATCTGGTCAAACGTGTAAAGTTTAAAAATTCAAGTCCAAAATAAACCTCATCGTTGATTGTGTCAATGGACAGATTGTTCAAGGTAGAATGACAGGAAAAATATCTCACTGGATATTTACCTGTACTAATTTTTAATCCTTGTCTTAGTTTGAGCTCTTTTAAATTTTTCAACGGCTGAAGAACCAATTCAGGAAACGAACGACCATTTGTTATGTCTATCTTGTTATTGTCTATATTTAGAACCTGCAGGTTTTCGAGTCCCCAGAAGGCGTTGACCTCAAGCGTGTCAATGTTATTGTAAGCTATGCTTAAAACCAGCAGACATGAAATATTTTCAAACGTGAAATTTTCAACCGTTTTTATAAGATTGTTGCTAAGGAAAATTTGTGTGGCGTTCTCTGGGAACCATGTTGGATTTATTTGACGTATGCCTTTATTGGTGCAGTCCACTGTGACGTCACCCATTGATGACACAACAGAACAAGGGGATTCTTGTTGTCGGTGTTGATAAACTAGTGGGTCTCCCATGACTGTAAATATCGCTGTATTTAATAATAGCAAACACAGAAGCTTGGCCATCTTATTACCTGTCGTGTATGCTAGAATGGTAAAAAAAACCATTTCGTTCTAATTCTTTGTGTATAAAAATGTGATTGCCACCTCTTCAAACTGCTATCTGATCAAATAGAAAAAAAGATGCTGATTGAGAAAAACAAACTATTGTATATCGCTTATTTTGTTGTTTTATAAAATTTTATTGCAATCGCATTAAATTACTGGTTTATTAATAAAAACGAGAGCTGAATATTTATACTATATGCCAAGAACACTTTCAGGTAAAAACTTCTTGAGCAGGAGCTCATTATCTGATTTGAACAAAAAGATTACTCGGTGCAGTTAAATCGAGTTTGGGGGTCGGCGTGGTCGAGTCGGTAAAGCTCATGGTTGCTAAACCGAAAAGTCTCGAATTCGAACCCTCGGGCTGATGAGGCTCGTTAGCTGGGGACAGCCACTCTTCTAAAAGAGTCAACTCCAAAATCAAACAACTGCTGCCTTGTAGTTTGATCTTGGTTGGACAAAGGTTATGGAAGCAAATCCAAAAAGAAAAGCAGGCTGAAATCGGAGTCAATGGCCTCAATGGCGCATAACCAGTTGACACGTAACGCTTAATTGTGTTGAAGGCGTGGTCGAGTCGGCAAAAGCTCATGGTTGATAAATTCGAACAAAGTCTCGAGTTCAAACCCACTGGTAGATAAATCTCGATCCCCTCCAACACTAATAATTGAGAACGAAGAAGAAGAAGAAAGAAATCGAGTTTGATTGAATGTAATTTAAGTTAACAATCTACAGAGAGTAAAGCTCTTTACCTACCTGGCTCTTGATGTATATCAGTGTGTGTCTCAGTGTCATGTTGACGATTTATACCACAGCTATGAGGGGCTGACCAACATATCGATTTTTAACAATTACCTGCCCACACTTAAGAAAGCAAAAGGTAATATTTATCAAGAAATTTTTAATTGAAAGTAAGCTTCTTCATTTCGCTGCAGGCACGCTTTGCTATTTGTGACAGAAGCGTTCTCAAACAACTATGCATTTTTTTCTAAGCTTAAAATAATATTAAAGAATGATTTCTTCTACCCAGATTGATTTCAAAATAAACTCTGTTCAACAAGCTTTTTTACTTTCTCGATTATACGAAGTATAGAGAAAGTCTTGTAACCGAGCAAAAAAAAAAAAATCGAGATTGTTACAAATCTCGACGTTTTACACCTCACTGATACGGAAAAACATAGTTTTGCAATCTTGTCCGTATGTCTGTGTGTCTGTGTGTGTGTGTGTCTGTCTGTGTGTAAACACGATTACTTGAGTACCTTTACAGCTAGGTTGATGAAATTTCATATATAAGTATTATATCAAAATAGTAGATCCGTATCAACTTTTGAGCGATTTCCGATAACCGGAAGTGGTACTTTTTCTACTTTGAATTTTTCAAAAGCCTATAACTTGAGTACTAATTCAGATAGATAAATGAAATTTCACATGTAAGTAAAGATCTAAAATTCTCTACCTTCTATCAAATTTTGAGTAATTTCCGTTGACCGGAAGTACTAATTTACGCTATTTCCGATTTCTCAAAAAACGCGAATAAATTTATAAAGTACTAATAATATTGCGCACTATTACGCACATTTGGTTTTGGTGTTCGCTTGGTGCGCAATTTTTTTTCTACTAGATTTTATTCTATTTTTAAAAGTTTAAGTAAACAAAAATCATGTCTATATTCCGAGTTGACATCCCACGTAGTGTTATATTAGAATATTCGAGAAAGTTTAGGGGAGATCACTCCCGGTTTATTTTATTCGCTTTCGTTTTAATGTTAGCATTGTAGATCAAATGAGACTCTTATGGAGACCTAGCCGTGAAGTGGCGTCACTAAGTCGGGTATCAGTCACACCATACAGTGACTCAAGTGACTCTACTTTTAGACTAATTATATATATATACATATATATATATATATATATATATATATATATATATATATATATATATATATATATATATATATATATATATATATATATATATATATATATATATATATATATATATGTAATTGTGTGTGTATTTATATTCGTATGATTATGTACATACAATTTAATATACGTGTGCTTATGTATATAAATGTATGTATTTTATATTCTTTTTCTCTATGTGTTGAAAAATTTTGATGTTATCATTTTCGGGTAGAACTACTACTATTCAAATGTAAAGACGTGTTCTAAAGTGACTAGTTAACAGGTTTATTCACCTATTATGGCGCCAAAGTTTAGTCCATGAAGAAGGATATAAGCATTGAAAAATTGGTTGCTGGAGTTTAATTAAATTATAAACAGAATTAGATTAAATTGAAATTACGCTTATTAGAATTGTTTGTATGGGTTGGTATTGTTTACGTGGTAGAAATCCTAACGCTAGAATTAATAATGAGGAGGATAATAAAATTCACTTTCCAACCAGTCACTCTATAGGGCAGATGGGGAACCGGACGTTTTCCCAGAAAGACATTTACTCGAATGCCGTTTGCCCGAAGGCCGATTTCTCAAATGGTCACCTTCCCGAATGCGACCAATGCCCGAATAGACATTTGCCCAAATGCGACAAACACCAATTTTTAGATTTATCCAGCGCTCACATGTTTGTTTTGAAAGAAAACTGGTTTGATTACTGCCAAAACGGGAAACTTTGGTACTGTCAGCTGGACGATAATTTTATGGTCAAGAAATCTGGTCGATTGTTTTAAAAACTGAAATCTCTTCAAAGACTGGATCTTTCCTCCAACTCGTTAAACAACACTGGCCGAAGATATGTTTGCCTATAATTTACAGTTAAAAAATGCTTCGGCTAGCAGATAACACTTTTAATGTTTATTTAACTTTCAAGAGAGGCAAACAAAAAAAACAACAGTTCCATTAGGGGTCATCCATAAATGACGTCACGCTTTTTTTGACGATTTTTACCTCCCCCCCCTCCCCTCCGTCACACGTCGTCACAAAAAGTCAGACCCCCCCCCTAAAATGACGTCACACCTCAACCTACAACCCCCCTCAAAATTGCAGTTAAATTTTTTTTAAACATCGATATTTTTCCAAAATCTTGTCTAAACTATTACAATTTATTAAAACAGTTATCTAAAACGCGAAATAACGTCTAAAATTCGTTTTCTAACATTGCTTTTTTATAATGCAAAAATGTGACGTCGCAACATCTGAACCCCCCCCCCCCCCCCTCCCCCTCATCACACATCGTCACAAAATTGCGGACCCCCCCCCCTCCCCCCTACGAGTGTTACGTCATTTATGGATGACCCCTTACTGCTAATCCAAACTACGATCACACCATTATAAAAAAAGTGAATATTGCACAGAAAATATTAAAAACACTGACAAAGATTGTATAATAAAAGATATTTACATTTAATTTCCAGATACAATAATTAATTATTGTTATGTATTGTTCAAACAGAAGTCAAGAAAAACGTAGGTCTAAAACTAACAAAATATAAACTAAAACTAAATTTTTAAATAAAGAGGTAGAAAAGTCTATGTATATACATATAAACAAAATTTAGCTCTGTCACGCTATTGTTGTAATGGGACGGAGTGGCCTAGCGTTAGAGATTGCTAACCCGTAGGTCTCGAGTTCGAATCCGAGTTTAAGTGTAAGTAAAGGCGGATGGGCATAAAGCCTACGCTATGAACCACACTATCCATTCATATGCCGAGGTCACAGAAACAAGTGAACTCTACTTCACTTGCCCCGTAGACCGTCAGGTTTGAAAGGGAACTTTACTTTTTTACGCAATTGTTGTACATTTCCATATTTTGTCTATAATGTAAGTAACGTGTAAACATTGTTTCAGCAATTTAAAAAAAAAATCATTTGTCACTCCTCTACTCTTTATCAAAGATAGTGTCAAACTGAAGACAATAAAAGACCATAAAATAATCCAAGTAGATGCATTTTCCATCTTTGTGTCACACTGATGTCTAAAATGCAGAATGAATAAAGTTAGTGAAAGATAAATACCAAAATGAAACAGAAGAGCAGTTCGAGCTAATAAAAAAAGTTTCGAAATGGTATCGAAATTAAATGAGCAATATGATATGAAATGTGTACAATAAAACAAAGTAATAATTTATGAAGTCAGTAAAACATAAATGAGGTATCAGTCACTCCGAGTAAGAGTATGGTCCACTAAAGTTGCAAGTGATTTAATACGCTTTAAAGGGAAAGTAATCTGTTTTCAAATGTATTCCAATTTCAAGAATTATATCCCAGTACAAATTCATCGTATAATCTAGCCTCTTTAGGTGTTGTTTCTTTTTTATTTTTATTTTGTTAGTGTCTTATAGGTAAAAATAATGTGGATACTATTGGCTTTTGAAAGTCAAGTATGATAAACCATAACTTTAGAGCTAGCAAACTCTCGATTCCAAATAAAGCGTCAATGTTACTGCATACAGTATTCAACACAAGAAATCGTGAAATTTGTAAGTAAACTTTTTAAACCGTTTACATATTATTGCTTTACATTGAAAAATGTTGTGGCTTCTCCGAACATCATTAACTTCTGACAAATTCCACTGTAACATTACAGCCAAATTAATGAACTGACTACTTCTGCTTCCTTACAAATGATCCTAGGACCAGAATAATCTGTTATTTGCATTCTTTTTCTTCGAAAGTATTAACTTAAAAAATCTATATGCTTACTACATTTAGTCTAACATAAAAGTATTAAATCGTTTTTAGCCTGAAAAAATCTCCATAAAAAATTAAGTTCCTATAATGGAAGGAAAACAGAAAAAAGTGCAACTCTCTAAAGAATAGAAAGGAATAAATAATTTTAGACGAAACGCTAAAACATATAGATAGAAAGATTAAAAATTAACTTTTAGGACTCAGCAATGTCCTGAGTTTCTCTTTCAGCTCATACGTCATCATCCAGTGGTGGACGACGACAATGTTGTCCTCTACAACAGCATTCAACAGCTCCGTGGGAAGATTGTACGCATGCTTCTCGTCAACAAGAACGATCACTCGGTTCGGGTTGGCTGGCGTCTGCGCGTAGATGGCAGATCTGAACGTGAACATCATCCAATCGTCGTTCAGCAGAAAAGTTTGGTTGAAGACGAGCACGATTCGCCAGCTCGAGTTGATGGCCTCCACAATTCCACGTGCTATGTCGGTGGAAGGTAAAAGGTCACGGTCACGTAGGTATGACGTCATTCCCAAGTTATCTTCAACAAATGACCGTAGTGTATGACAAGCAAATCTGTAGTCGTTTTCTGCATAGCCAATAAATACTCCAGTTTTATAGTCTGAAGCAGTTTGAAATTTAAATCCTCCAAAAAGTTGAATTACATAATGTGAAATGTAAGTCAGTTTTTTGTTAATCACAAAAGTGGACAAAAGTCCAATTATAATTAAACAAATAACAACTAAAGAGATTTGCAGAAAAAATTCTCCCCAACATTTCCTCCATAAAACGTCCAGGTTTCTATATGTGCTTGTAATAGTCACGACGCCATTTTGGTCCATGCAAGAAAAAATACCACCTTTGTCGAATGTCACATTTGTGGACATCAACCATTGGAGAAAAGAAAGACTCTCACATCCACATGACAAAATATTCCCATCAAGGTAAAGCTGAAATCCTTCTTTGCCTTGAGCAAATTGGTCAAACATTTGTCGTGTTTCTACATCAAGGGTGACCAAGGCGTTGTTGGTAAGGTCAAGAAAAGTTAAATTTGGAGTGTATTTTAAATTAAATGGCACGACATTAAAACGGTTATCTGCTAACCGAAGCATTTTTAATTGTGAATTGTAGACAAACATATCTTCTGACAGTATTGTTAAGGAGTTTAGGGAAAGATCCAGTCTTTGAAGAGATTTTAGTTTTGAGAACAATCGACCAGATTTCTTGGCCATAAAATTACCGTCCAGCTGACAGTTTGACAATACCAAAGTTTCCAGTTTTGGCAAGTAATCAAACCAGTTTTCTGTTACAACAGACATTTGATTGCTGGATAAATCCAAAAATTTCAATGCTGTTAAACCATACACAGGTTCAATGAAATTTGAAAATCCACTATCTGAAAGATCGATGAGTTCCAGATGTTTAGCTCTCACCATAAATATCTTCTCATTAAACTGCGTTGATTGAATCATCCTTTTGGCGTTGAAAACTTTTAAAGATTTGAGCATATAAACCTCCCAGCCTTCAACGATAGTTTTATTTACAAAACTCTCTTCTTCAAAACTTTCGTTCTCATATTTTAGTGAGCTTTCTAGATTAGGCACATCATTCAAAATAAAATATTGTCTCCAGTTGAATGTTTCGTCAACCCTTTTACGAATTAAATTTTCTATTGATAATATTTCTAAATTTGTATATGTGAGGATCTTTATCATAGCGATGCGCGTGCCTGTTAGAGGATTGCTGGAAATATCAATCTCTTTTAGACAAGAGTCCCAGATAGTGCTATAAAAAGCATCATCAACCACGACAAAGATCTGGTTCTCGGTGAACGTAAAGCTTCGCAAACAGATGCTCGTTAAGTGCTTCGTCATGGACCTAAACACAAAACTATCGTTGTGTAGCAGACTTGCGTCGTTGGCATAGAAGTTGTAGGATATCATGTTTAGAAACACTGAAGTCATAGTCCTTCCTCTAAAGGGCCATAATAGATCGAATATTCTTCCAACACCATAAGGAACTTTTTCCAAGTGCAGAACCTCAAGAGTTTGTAAAGGCTGAAATACGTCAGGACTTATAACATCTATCATCTGTAATCGAGTTATAAATAACTCTTTTATTCTTCTGACGTTAATGAATGTTTCGTTAGTTAAGTATTTTGCTGAACCAGCAAATTCCAGTTTAGTCAGATTTGTAAATTTAAGAAACTCTGGCCCAAAATAAACCTCAATGTTAATCGTATCAATAGACAGATTAGTTAACGCAGCTTGACAATCGAGATATTTCAAGGGGTATTCAGCTATTGACACTATTTGTAAGCCTTGTTTTAGCCGAAGCTCTTTTATTGCTTTTAAGCTTTTAAGAACAAAATCAGGAAATGATTTTATATCTGTTATATCAATCCGATTAAATTCTAAATTTAGAACTTGCAGGTTTTCGAGTCCCCGGAAGGCGTTGCCCTGAAGCGTGTCAATGTTATTGTAAGATATACTTAACACCAGCAGACGTGAAACATTTTGAAACGTGAAATTTTCAACCGTTGTGATGTTGTTGTTGTCCAGGAAAATTTGCGTGGCGTCTTCTGGAAACCATGCAGGGTTTATGCGATGGATGCCCCGATGAGTGCAGTCAACAGTGACGTCACTGCTGGATGATGTCACAGAGCATGGCGATGCTTGTGACCACTGTGGACTATCTTGTCGTGTGCTAGAGATAGCTATAACTACATCAGGACTGACTTGATTGTCTGAGCATATAATTAACACCAACATGACACACAATGAATAGAGAAGCATTTCCAGGTCGAAGCTAACTTCAGCAACAATAAAATTAAAGGCACAATTATTTTTTATTACTTCAATAATATAAATAGCTAATACTATTTATTTAGAACGTTACAAAATTTAAAATGAGAATTGCTACGTATTAAAAAAAATTAAAAAATGGTTATAAATTATACTTCTTTAAATTATTAATAAAAACAAAATATACATTATTGTAGTTGAAATCACATAAATTATCGATGCTTGAAAAAAAAGTTGAAAAAGATAAAAAAAACAACAACTATTTGCTAATCAAGACATTAATTAAAAAAAATATTAAAATAATAGCTCTCCTTACATTGTTCTAAAAAACGATTTTAAATACTGAAAATGGTAACAACTAAATTAATCTTAACTTTTGTAATTATTGAAACAATATCACATCAATCTTGTATGAGAAGAGATCTGGAAAGAATATCTCCCACTTTTTTAAAACATAACAAAGTTGAATTATTTTCTTATATTCTTCTCCTTGCAGCAGTGAACTAGTTTTAGAACTAGCAGCTCTATTTTTACTGATCTGGCAAGTTTAACTAAGGCGAATCATTTGTTATCGACCTGAGAAAAATCAATCGATATATATACTGAATTATCTAAAAATGTATTACATTTATTATCAGTGTGTTAAGCTACAATCAGTATTAATCTGTTTTAGCAACGTTCCCCGCCCCCAACCCCTTGTCCCCTACCCCACGTTGTCCCTTAACAAACTTGACTTTTTCAAAAGAAAAAAAAACTACGAATTAAACAAAGTAAACTATAATGTGATTTTATTCCGAGTTTGGCATTATCTACTCTATCGTTATCTACTGTCGTGTTGTATTCTGGCAGCACAACCACATGCTTTAATAAATGGCTCTGTCGTCCCCGAGTCTTTGTATGGATTCCGTTCTTATCAGAGTTTGATACGAGGAAATAGTTTTAGAACCTAGAGACACAAGCTAGAGTATCTTGAAGAATAGCTTTCGCGGACACGGGTAAGGAAAAGAGAGACACATAAATATTAATGATCAGAACAAATGTCGTTGCTTAAAAAAATAGTCAGGAATAAAAAGAGTGACGTAAGTTTTTTGGTATATATATATATATATATATATATATATATATATATATATATATATATATATATATATATATATATATATATATATATATATATATATATATATATATATATATATATATATATATATATATATATATATATATATATATATAGGCCTATATATATATATATATATAATTTAAGTTGCCTATCCGCTTATCTCTTGACATAGAAATTCTTGATAAAAAATGGAATACAGTTGTCTTGATACTGAGAAAATATGAAGTAAAATGATAAAAATGTGTATACAAAAAAAATAATAAATAATAAAGCGTTGGCCTACTTGAGTTAATTTACTTCTTCGGAATTAAGAACGTCTTCTTAAAGTTAACTATTTTCAATGAAAATGTTTTATTAAACATTTGTCGTTTAACAAAAAAAATAAAAAATAAACAACCTAGTGTATAGTGGCGTCACACGGCTGGGCAGGAGTGCAGGCCACATTTGTGACACCAATTAAGGGGTGCCACAAATTAACTAGTGAACCTGAGATAATAATGGTTTTGGATGTCGTTTTTTTAAGATAACACGGACTTTAAGAAGATGGGAAGGGGTGAATCCAAGACGAATAACAAAAACTTAATTTCAAAGAAATATACACCACTGACCATGAAACAACCTTAGTGGAATGAAGGGATGGGGAGGAATGAGATCCTGAGTTCTTTCACCAGGTAATGAAGAACCATGTCGAATAATTTGCGCATTTGAATATAATCTTTTGTAAGATTTATATCCTTTTTCACTATAAAGCTCACCGAAGTGAGAAAGATTGGTTTATATATAGTTTTATATATAGTGATAGCTCTTATTTTGTACTTCTAAGACATAAATAGCGCGTTCTACGATGATTATTAATGTGTAGTGTGTTGACTTGGACTTTGTATGCTGGAATGGCACAGTCTTGTGTACAGAGATAATCAAAGTTTTCTCCCAAAATAATTCCCAAGCCGTTACGACAAAAGTCACTGAACAGGTGGATAAAATGGCTGAATTTCTATTCGGGTTTGAGCTTCTTTTGGCTGAAAATAAATTATCTTGCGGATTTTTTAACTTAATTTTTTTATTATGGCTACAAATTACTACGGTAAAGTGAGATGAAGGTCGACGTTATAATTGTATTAATGACCATGGTTTACATACATATACGCTTGCCATAGGCAATGGAAACTGTGTAGTGGGCAGTTGTTTTATTGGCTCACAAGTTATATTTGTGCTAATGATGACTAGGTACTTAATGTACATTGATATATACAAAAATAAAATCTATTTGTCTTGGATTTGGCAAATGTTAAGGTGTTTTAACATGTTTTAAGATTGAATCCATTTGTAACTAATTATCTAATTGGTGTGTTCATTATTTATACATTTACTTTAAACACCAGCGGTCTACAAATCCGTGTGCATATTGTTGTCAATTCGAGAGTTCTTAACCAGGTACACATTCTCTATCAAAACAGCACAGACATTAGTAACCCGCATTCCTTACAACAAATCTACGTATTTTTCATTTTCCCCTCTATAAATAACCCATTTTCTTAGAAGAACAATATCGGAGTTATTTTATTTTTCGCGTTACAGTTTGAATGGTTGCATGTCATTGAGTTCTGTAAGCTGACTGTCGAAAATCTATTTATGATACGGGAAAAAGACCCGGCTGTTATTAACAAACTCGAAATTCGAAGTTAACTAGGCTTTAGTTCAAATTAAAGTAGGCCTTAGTATAGGCTATATTTTTCTACCTTATAAACGTAATGATTAGTTTACCTTTCTTAGTTTGAAACAAATCTTGTTGACCTTCATAATAAGATTAAAATACCGTTTTATAATATTAGTAGTAAATTTCTTTTTCTTTGTTGTTATTGTAATATTCACGGGGGCATCCTACAATACAATTAAGTGTCAACATATAATACGCCATATAACTCGTTGACTCTTTTCTTTCTGGATTAGCTCCCATGGGCAAAAACTTACCCAGGTAATTTAATACTATCATACGATTAAAAAAAATAAAATCATAAAGATTTAACCTTTTAATGTTGAAAGACAATCAAACAACATAAATCATAACTTGTTATAAAAAACATATTTATCGATTTCGTTTACAATTTTTGTGTCGCAGAAATATTGGACTCTGATTGGGCGGTAAGAAATTAAAAAAAACCCCACTGAATCCCAAAGAGGAACGAAAGTTTTCTAGTTTTTAAAAATAATTAATGAAATTTTAATAAAACTATTAGCACGGTAAGAATTTGCCAAGCTCATAATAAACAATATTCGATAAGATGGAACCAATTTTTTAAAATACTAAATGGATAGCAGTCAGCATAATCGCAAACTTCATATGGCTTAGGATTATTGTATTCAAATACATTTATTTAAAGTTTTTATTTTGGGGCCTGGACAAAGGAGTGTCTTGAGTTTCTCTCTCAGCTCATACGTCATCACCCAGTGGCGGACGACGACAATGTTGTCCTCTACAACAGCATTCAACAGCTCCGTGGGAAGATTGTATGCGTGGTTCTCGTCAACAAGAACGATCACTCGGTTCGGGTTGGCAGGCGTCTGCGCATAGATGGCAGATCTGAACGTGAACATCATCCAATCATCGTTGAGCAGAAAAGTTTTGTTGAAGACGAGCACGATTCGCCAGCTCGAGTTGATGGCGTCCACAATTCCACGTGCTATGTCGGTGGAAGGTAAAAGGTCACGGTCACGTAGGTATGACGTCATTCCCAAGTTATCTTCAACAAATGACCGTAATGTGTGACAAGCAAATCTGTAATCGTTTTCAGCATAGCCAATAAATACTCCAGTTTTATAGTCTGAAGCAGTTTGAAATTTAAATCCTCCAAAAAGTTGAATTACATAATGTGAAATGTAAGTCAGTTTTTTGTTAATCACAAAAGTGGACAAAAGTCCAATTATAATTAAACAAATAACGACTAAAGAGATTTGCAGAAAAAATTCTCCCCAACATGTCCTCCATAAAACGTCCAGATTCCTGTATGTGCTTGTGTTAGTCACGACGCCATTTTGGTCCATGCAAGGAAAAATACCACCTTTGTCGAATGTCACATTTGTGGACATCAACCATTGGAGAAAAGAAAGACTCTCACATCCACATGACAAAATATTCCCATCAAGGTAAAGCTGAAATCCTTCATTGCCTTGAGCAAATTGGTCTAACATTTGTCGTGTTTCTACATCAAGGGTGACCAAGGCGTTGTTGGTAAGGTCAAGAAAAGTTAGATTTGGAGTGTATTTTAAATTAAACGGCACGACATTAAAACGGTTATCTGCTAACCGTAGCATCTTTAGATGTGAATTGTAGACAAACATATCTTCTGACAGTATTGTTAAGGAGTTTGTGGAAAGATCCAGTCTTTGAAGAGATTTCAGTTTTGAGAACAATCGACCAGATTTCTTGGCCATAAAATTACCGTCCAGCTGACAATTTGACAATACCAAAGTTTCCAGCTTTGGCAAGTAATCAAACCAGTTTTCTGTTACAACAGACATTTGATTACTGGATAAATCTACAAATCTCAAACCTGTAAATCCGCTTATTGGCTTTGTGAAGTTATTGAATCCACTGTCTGATATATCAATTAGCTGAAGACGCTCTCCTCTAACCACGTTTACTGTAAGATCAAAACTTGTTAATCGAGTCATTCTCGCTGCTCTGAACACTTTGACATTATTGAGTAAATATACCTGCCATCCGGATTGCCCAAAAGTTTTTAAGATTGTCTTGTTTGTTTCAACTTCTGTCGCGTTTTTCCGTGACTTATCAACACTGGATTTTTCAGTCAGAGAAAAATATTTCTCCCAGTTAAATTTCTTTAAATACCTGACCCGCAGCAAATTCTCAATGACAACAAATTCTAAGTTTCTTAACGTTGACAACTTAATTAGTGCCCAATTTGTACCTCGTAAAGGATTTTCTGAAAGATCGATTTCTCTTAGGCAAGAACTCCAAACGGAACTGTAGAAGGCTTCACCAACGATGACAAAAACTTTATTATTAGTGAAACTAAAACTCTTCAGACATATGCTAGTTAAATATTTCGTCATTGAAGGATATATGAAGCTGTCATTTTTTAATAAACCTTGGTCGGATGTATAATAGTTGTGATATATCTGAGACAGAACTATCGAAGACATATTTCTACCACTGAAAGACCACAGAAGACTCAACGCTTTTCTAACTCCACAATAAACATTTTCTAAATGCAAAACATCAAGTTCATGTAACGCACTAAAAGCATTACGGCTAATCCAAACAATCTTATCTAAACCAGTTACATACAATTCTCTTATTCTTTTGACATTTTCAAATGTTTTGCTTGTTATGTTATTTGCGCTTCCCCCGAGCTCCAGCCTGGTCAAACGAGTGAAGTTTAGAAATTCAGGTCCAAAATAAAGCAGGTCGCTGACCGTATCAATGGACAGATTGGTCAACGAAGATTGGCAAGTAAAATATTTAACCGGATAGTCACCGGTTTTAATTTTTAACCCTTGCCGTAATTTGAGTACTTTTAAATTTTTCAAGGGATGAAGAACCAGTTTAGGAAACGAACGATTACTTGTTATATCAATTTTGTTAAATTCTAAATTTAGAACTTGGAGGGTTTCGATTCCTAAGAAAGCATTGACATGAATCGTGTCAATATTATTGTAAGTTAAGCTTAAGACCAGCAGATGCGCTACGTGCTGAAATGTGAAATTTTCAACCGTTCTTATCCTGTTGTTGTCGAGGAAAATTTTCGTGGCGTTTTTTGGAAACCATGTTGGATTTATCTGTTTGATGCCTCGATTGGTGCAGTCAACAGTGACGTCAATGCTGGATGTTGTGATAGAGCATGGCGATGATTGTAGTTTTTGAAGATTGTAATCAGCAATGACTATTTTATGACACGTGCATATAAGCAACACGATGGTTATTTTCAGGGTATAATGAAGGTTGTTCATCCCCTGGCAGCTGGGTAAAAAAAGAATATATTTTGTATACATTGTTATTTGTTAGAGTATAAATAGAATTTGGATATCATTCAAATTTAATTAAAGTAAATTTCTGTGGCACACAAGCTTGATTAATTACATCGAACTAAAAATGTTTTGTTGTTTAAATGCGATTAAAACCTTGTTTTGATGAAGTTTTTAACGTTTCATATTTTAGTTTTATTAATACATAATACTCTATTTATATTTCGTTGACACAAAATAGGGGTGAAACCATTTTTTTTTAAATCCTAAAATACACAATCACAACACAGTTTCATCCAGCTAAAATAATGATTTAATATAGGAGAGTTGTGACACCTGACCCTAATGCAAAATCATTTCGTTGTTGTAGCCATGGGTCTGTCTTTACAAAGTATCCAGATGTGAAAACGTATTTGTCTATCACTTTATCCGTTACTGATCAGAGACGTTTACTTGATAGCAATAGGTATTAACTGCATTCGATGTACTGTATAGCCCAAATAACTATAAACATATGCGTGGGTACGTTTAATATGTATTAAATGTCGTTGTTTAAATATTATGAGCGACCCTCGTGTTTCGTTGTATTTACATAAATTAATAAAGGTGCAAAAATATATTATATACAAAACTTCTATACAATTAAAGGGAACAAAATATTTACATGTTCCGTCGATTAACTGGTCAGTTGGTCAACTTTACAATGACAGAATTTTTGTTTGTAGGAGACGAGGATTACAAATTCTGTTGACTATGTGATTACTTGGAAGTAAAACAAAATATGTAAAATATTGCATTTAAATATTGCTAGAGTGTGTCTCAAAACTACAAACATTACATTATGTAACATGAAGCGAATTGGCATATTACAATTTTAAAATGTTAATAGCAATTTTACAAAAAAATGAAATTACTTTGAAGTTGCACAAAAAAAAATTGTTCTCATGTAGGCCTAATCAACATACCTACCTTTGTTTCAGTAACACTATTAGTAATCCACAGTTTAGTTTAATTTAGTGAAATACTTTTTAGACCGTGACACAGTATAACAGCATTCTAAATTATTTAAAATTAAAAACTTTCCAAATACATTTTGTTAGAAAATACTGTTTGTCTCTGTGGAAAACCCCAAAGTCTTATTCATGCATACGAATAGCTGTATTTGATTAATTCAAACGCTGTGATTTTAGCTTTTCTTTTTAGCTAGTGTAAACTCAACTCTTGCCTATTCGAACCTAACATTTAAAGAAACAGGATTTAAGTAACAGAGCCAACAAACGTTTTCAAATTTCAATGTCCCACCTACCTTGTTGAATTCGTTTACGTCACACTCTACTGGCCGACTTAAATATAACGATTTTTAAAAAAAGATCCTAGCATGGTATTCTTTTCAAACGCCTACACGAGAATAGATCAAGGCAGTTCATATATGAGGACTGTATGGTTAGACTGAAGAGCAAATGTTTGCAAACTTCAACAGTCCAGAGCTTAGACGGACATAGAGAAGAAAATATTTGCAGATTGTTGTCTGGTGGACAAGCACTATGAAAGCAAACAAAATAAAATACTTAAAAAAAAAACTTTTTAAAAAACCACGTTTTTCTTGTGGACTAAAAAGTAGAAAATAATTTTTTCTTCCGACCCTAGGGGATCTACCAATGACTGCTCGTAGATTTTGTGCTTCCTCGAGCTGTGCAGGTTCTTGTGATGACTGTTCATACATTTGATGACAAAAAATGTGGGTACGTTCACCATCAAATTTCCAACATTCGTGTGTTGTGTGCTTTTCGCTTTAATCATAAATCTGCCCGACCCACTAACGGGTTAGCAGTCCAGCTCTCTACCGCTAGACCACTCCGTCCCACACCAAGTGAACGCCTAATAAAATGTGTATAAAAGTGCGGGATATTATTAGTACTTTATAAATTTACATGCGTTTTTGAGAAATCATGTCCTCAATTTTAGGGTCTTAGGGGCGTAATTTAATTAAGCTAATTTAGGTATCTAATTGCTAGTTTTTATGATTGCATCTGAAATTGTTAGGCGAAAATAGCCTGCATGCCGAATTTCAGATCTCTAGAGCAATCAGAAGTGGGCTAATTTTGTTGTCAATTTTAACAACAAACAAACGCGAAGCTGAGTTAATAAAAACGTGTTAAAAAAATAAAAAGGAAAAGAAAGTGGGAATCAACGTACCAGATGGAGCTTAACATGTTGACACTCGTACTCTAATTGTGGAGGAGATAATCGCCTTCAATATCACAATTAAGAACGGATGAGATCAGTGTTTTTTCCAGAATTTTTTCTATGGGGTGCACTTGATAGATAACCTAAGATAGGTTATTATTATTACGTGAACTTATTTCAGCCACCACGGTAGTTTAAAAAAATTGTTGAGTCTGGAATTTTTTCATAATGAAATGGCTCCTTAAGGGTTCAATAGGCTGTGAAGTCTCTTATAGCCTTTCAGAGGAAGGAACATGACCTCAATATATCATACAGCCTTGTAACAAGTTGCTCAGTAATGATTTTTTTAATACCCTATAATAACAAACCTATCTAACTACCACCATAACCTTTCTTTCATAGCAATCAAAGTAATGTTTCAAACGACAAAGCGTTAGACAGTGACATTTGAACCGTTATAAAGTGACTTGGAGTCATTATACAGTGGCATTTGGGTACTTTTCCGTACTACACTACGGACATTTGTAGAAGATAACTTAGGAATGACGACATTCATACGTGACCGTGACCTTTTCCCTAGCACTTACATGTTTAGTGGAATTGTGAACGCCATCAACTCGAGCTGGCGAATCGTGCTCATCTTCAACCAAACTTTTCTGCTGAAAGACGATTGGATGATGTTCACGTCCAGATCTGCCATCTACGCGCAGACGCCAGCCAACCCGAACCGAGTGATCGTTCTTGTTGACGAGATGCACGCGTACAATCTTCCCACAGAGCTGTTGAATGCTGTTGTAGAGGACAACATTGTCGTCGTCAGCCACTGGGTGATGACGTATGAGCTGAGAGAGAAACTCAGGACATGCCTCAGAACAATTCAAAACCTTTGTGTTCAATTTTAATTTATTTTCCTGTCTTTAGTTTACGTTTTTCTTATGTGGTATAATTAATTTGAATTAATAGGTTCTTTAGACAGTATTCTTAGTATCAGTTCTTTCATTCTTAAGGTTTCAGATGAAAAGATGCATTCAATGCTTTAATGCGCTCTTTCTTAAATTTTCTTTGATATTCAAAGTCACTTAAGTAATTTAAAAACAATTCTGTTGTTCTTCTAGTTTTGTTTGAATTTAGTTTGATATTAAGATTAATTTAACATATGTATTTACTAATCATTTTAGAGTAATCAATTTAACTTAAACGTCGTAAGATTATTTTTTTACCCAACTGTTTTTTGTATACATTAATAGTGGTAGGCATATAGCCCAAAGATTTATTTTAAGTGCCTCAGTACGTCTGAAATTAGGGTGTTAGTTTAAACTAACTTCCGGGTTCGCAGGTGTTTTAAAACCGTCGTTCAGCCTTCATGGAGATAATATATTCATATAATATAGACCTGGCTATCGATCGTTATTGCGTTGTGCATACCTGACTCAAACCATTGCGATATTTTACCAGACGAGCGTCGTCGCTAATTCGGTACTTTGTATATCATTCATATCGCTTGAAATCGGCTTTAGTTAATCAGGTAGATTATTTTAAAATAAGTATTATGCTACACGGCACTATTGATCGATCATGTTTTTCTCTCTCTCTACCTACCTTCTTGAAAATCAATATTTATAACCTTGTATATATCGATATGTTTAAGTTAATAGGACATTTTATAGGTGACGTACCCAGAGGCGTCGCAAGGATGGGACGGTGGGTGCGGACCGCACCGGACGACACCATTTAAGTGGATGATACCAAGACAAAAAAAATGGCAAGATATATAGAATAAATGTATTTTTTTTGTCTGTTCAATGGATGGTTAGAGTTAAAAAGTATTTTAAGTACATAATGACGATCACGACAGGGGAGGGAGGGGGTGACACGATGACGTAAACATGCAAATTTTTGAGAAAACAATTTTTTTAAAGAAATTAATGAATTTGTTGATTTTTTTCATTGACTTCATTAATTATAAATGTTTAAAACATTGGCTTTACTTTGACTGAATAATGACGACACATGATTTGTTTACTTTTTAGTACAATAAATGGCGGCTTCATCCAAGATTTCGTGGCCCATTCAGATCTTTAACGCGTTATAAAGTCGATTTTCTGACGGCTATAACTTTAACAATTCGTCCGTTTGCTGTATTTATTACGTTCCAACACTTATATCAATTTTAACGGTCTTTTTCATTTAGTTTTACAATAAATTTCTCTAGCTCTACAATCTGTCCAAGAAAGTTATTTATAGATCTAAATATCAGGTGGCCAAAAAAGTTATGTATAGATCTAGAATCTAGGTCGAACCAAATTATTTTAAAATCAGAATAATTTATTGAGTTTCTTTATTAAAATATTAGTCCTTAAATATTTTATATAAATCTTTCATTTTTAGCTTCACGGATCGTCTAATTCAAGAATAATACAAGTGATTTATCTATCTAGGTTCTAGATCTAGATTCTAGAGTTACGGAAAACTTGACTTAACCAAACCAATCGTAGAATCTAGATAATTCTATCTTGATCTAGATGATAATGAGTTTCTATACTAAACTATTTCAGACCTTCATTATTTTATATAAATCTTTAATTGTTTAGCTATGAAATTTGTTAATTTAAGGTCAAATTTAATTTGAAAGTTACTATACTTAGATCTAGATCTAGCTAAGGTAAATCAAGTTGCATAAGGAAACTCAAAGTATTATTATTGCGGGTTCTAGACACATCACGTCAATGTTTAAAGAAAAAATTCAATTTTTTTTTAGATATGAATGATAAAGTTGCCTATCTGAACTTGGCGGGATACAGGGCAGGTGAAGTAGAATTCATCTGTTTCTTTGTCCTAAGCATATGAAGGGTTAGTGTGGTCAGAGACATGCTTGGCCGGAATAGTTTTTTTAACGATAAAAACATGTTGTCTGAGACTTGGCGGGACACTGGGCAGGTGAAGTAGAGTTGAGTAGGTCACCTGTGACGTCAGTATATGAAGAGATAGTCCAAAATCGTTTTTTTTAAGGATAAAAAATCTTTTTGAATGTGGGTTCTGGTTTTTTGTGACGATAAGTGACAGACGTGAGGTTTTTTATGGTGACCTCCGAAACCGACAGTTATCCAAGGGATGACGGGTAGTCTAGTTAGTATTAAATGCGAACACTTTAAAGCTTTTAAGTGGGGTGACACTAACTGCAACTTTACAGAGAAAAGGAAGGGTGAGGGGGCGTTGACACCAAGAGATGCCGCACCGGGTGACACCCGACCTAGCAACGCCACTGGACGTACCTTATAATTTAAGAACGTCATGGTGGCTACGTTTACTGTAATTATAACTAAAGCTATAAAAATAGCTCAACCTTGGATAAAAACTTCCAGGAAAGGCGTAGTCGGATGGTAGAGCATCGAATCCCGCACTTCAGTCTATAGGAGGTACTTGAGCCCACACAGCAATGATGGGCACTTGACTCACGTTTGTAAAAGTAATTTTTTCCACTCTATCCCATTATATGTCAAGATCACATAAACAGGGGAATTCTACTTCATCTGCGCTAAAGACATCAAAGCTTTAGCATAAAAAGTACGTTTGCAATAATAATCTTTTTTTTTTTGCCGCCTTTTTAATTACTGAGGTAAAATTAAACATCCGTTTCAGGTTAAAATCATTAGTGAAAGAGGCACGTGCCACAATTCTGGGACCACAAGGCAGGCTTTAGTAAACATAGATCGTTAATGGGCAAAAATTCAACTTAGTAGATTACTATTGATCAATCACAAATATACGCTCAAAGCCAGCGAATTTTGAAATACTAGCCATCGGTACCCGTTACACGGGAATTATAGTCCTTTATATTTTAAATGTTATACATGTTTGAAAAAAAATTATAAAATAGTTATTGGTCAAAACGCAATGTGCTTTACTACATGTTGAAGATATTAGTGACAAAGCAAAGAAACAACTAAATAGCTAAAAACCTGACACATTAAAAATAATATAGGCTGTCAATACCTATTAGAAAAAAACAACAAAATATCAGCACACACAGATCAAGAGACTTAAATAATTTCGTTAAAAACCCAGCTGTTTTTCTAAGAAATTTTAATTAGTTTAAGCCGAGAAAATTGCATCAATTTCAATTCTAAATCAAATTTGAATGTAGCAGTTCATTTCTTCATGTTCTAAAATTGGAAGATGACACCATTAGTGTTTGTGTACTTTCCCTAGTTGAAACATGTAACATGTGACGTCATTCCTTTTTTCTTTCTCGTCACAACTATAAAAACACTTTTCCTGTTGCATAATTAAAAATGTGCTTCTACATTCGAATATGCCTAATTTTTATTTTCTTATTTTAAAAAAAAATTAGTTTTTACATTTAATACATTCAAATTATAATTTTCAACCAAAGTCTATTTCTTTAAGTTCTTTATATATTGCTGAAGATAATGATCTCATAGCCTCGGTACATATGTTGACGAGAGAAAGAGAGAGAGAGAGAGAGAGAGAGAGAGAGAGAGAGAGAGAGAGAGAGAGAGAGAGAGAGAGAGAGATAGCATACATGGACTTTTATAAATTAAGATTGAGTTAGTAAGCTTTTATTAATTCAATTCTAAAAAATGTAAAAAAAAAAAACAACTAACAATACCTAAATCATTTATATGCCAAACCAACATGAAAGACACCATCATACGAAAAATGTGGCACATATTATATTCATATATTCACCACCATTAAGCGGTTCATTTTTCTTAGTATAACATTTTTTAAAAACATTAAATGACAGATCAAACTAAATGAAATATTTAACTGCTGTGCAAAAGTAAAGGCGGATTCAGTGGTCTCTAAGTCGTGAGTTAATTGCTTCAGTCAAGTAATAACCAAGTTCCCAATGAGATACAACTATAATGTTATCTTCATGAACTGAGTGCACTAGCTCCAGCGGCAACTGACAGAGAAGATTTTTTTCCACCAATATGACAAGTTTACCTGGGTTGTCAGGGGTCACGGAGTACACCGCAGCTTTCATTGTGAACATGGCCCAATCATCGTCATGGAGGAATGGTTCGCTGCAGACGAGGATGGCCCGCCAGCTGGAGTTGATGGCCTCAACGATACCCTGGGCCATGGTGGCGCCACCTGGAAGGTCACGGTCACGAATGTGTGTTGTGTAGCCCAGCTGGTCTTCAACGAATGACCTCAGACTTTCGCAAGCAAACTGATAATCTCTACTTGTATATCCGATGAACACACCAATAGGATAATCTTTTGCAGATTTGAGCTTAAAACTTGTAAAGATGTGTAAAATCCGAGACAAAATATAGGTTTTATTTTTGTGTATTAGAATAAACATTAAAAAGCAAGCCATGAGGAGGAAAAATAAAATAAAAGCCAGCGAGAAGAAAAACGGACCAACACAGCTACGCCATATATTTTCCAAATTACTGCTGTCTAATGTATATGCAAGTATTCCATTTTTATTAATGCAAGAATAATTTCCGTTATTATCTAATTCAACATAAGTTGTTTGCATCCACTTCAAAAATCTTAAACTTACACATCCGCAGGACAAAATATTGCCGGCCAACAAAAGCTGAAACTTGCCTTGACGTTTAACCAGTCCGTCTAGCTCATCGGTAGCCGTTTGATCAAGTAAAGAGATGGCGTTATCACGTAGATCCAAAACTTGAAGGTTTGGAGTTAATTTAAGATCAAATGGAATATCCTTAAATCGATTGTTTGACAGGATTAGGTGTGTTAAGTTCAAATTATTAGAAAACATTTTCGCCTCAAGTAATGAAAGCGAATTTGAAGATAAATCTAAAAACTGGAGATTTGTTACTTTCTGGAAAAGTCTTTGGCCATAGTTTGAAATTAACCATGGGGATATCAAAACATTTGCCATTGAAAGATTTTCTAATTTTGGAAATGTATCCAGAATTGATACCGATAAAATACGAAGATCTGTGTTTGAAATGTTTAATATTTTTAACCCATCAAGTCCATATAATTGTCCTGTAAAATATTGCACACCAGTTTTTGAAAGATCGAGTTTGACAACTCGTTCAGCTCCTTTAAAGTAAATAATCTTATCCATATAACCAGCTGAGATAAAATCTGTGAAGATTATACGACGAATTGAACCCGAAATGTAAACTGTATATTGAGGGAATTTTAATCCAGACCGATTTGTTTTTGGGCGAAACACTTTGTCGTTCTTATAGTTGTCTAATGCATTGAAATTAGTTCGTTGAAATTCATTTTCTTTTTGAGTAATAGGCATTTCTTTAGGATCTTTAATTTCATCTTTGCTTTGAATATGTGAGATAACCAGCTCTTCCAAATTTGATAATTTACAAATCCTCGCCACTGCGAATCTTAACCCGAAAATAGGATTAGATGAAATGTCAAGAAATTTTAAGCATCTTTTCCATGTTTCACTCCATAACGCGTCTGCAGTTATGAGAAAAATTCGATCTTCTCGCATAATGACTCGACTAACGCAAATACTCGTCAAGTATCGTGTGTTATTGGCGTTTAATATTCCAGTGTGGTGATAAAAGTCGTACACATTATCAAATTGTTTAACTGAAAGTCCGGTAAAAACTAATTCATCCATCACAGAATTATTTAGTGGAGCCAGGAGACGAAGCATTTTTTGTGTGCCGATTCGAAAGTCGATGAAGTCTAAAAATTTAAGTTTTTTGAACGGCTGTAGAATTCCGTTTGAGATGTTCACCATTTTATTCATTTTAAGAATATACAGTGAACTTACCTGCCCCACTGTCTCAAAACTTTGGTTGGTTATAAAACTAGCTTCTCCTGTGATTTGTAAACTTTCCAGACTGGTCAGATTTCTAAAATCTAGTGGGAAATAAATTTCCCATCCAGCAGTGTTTATTGTTAGAAGTTTTAGATCTTTAAGGCAACCAAGAAATTTTTTGGGGTAGCTATCGTGTCTCTCGTCATTGGCATTGTTCATTAACAAAAGTTGACGCAGATTCTGCATGACACAAAACACATTGCTTGGCAGGCTGTTATATTTTAAGTTGTTGTTTTCCAGGTTTAAAAACTCCAAGCTTTCCAACCCAACAAAGGCGTCCGGCTCAATGTCTTCTAGGATGTTGAACGATAAGCTGAGATACCTGAGCTTTGTTAAGTTCGTGAACACATTGTTCGGGATCGTCTTCAAAAGGTTCACATCTAGAAGTACCGTTGTGGCGTTTTCTTGGAACAGAAGAGAATCGATTTTATTTATAGATTGATACCGGCAATCGACTTTTATCTCACTCTTTTCTACGGTCACCGTGCAGGGAGATGATTGGTTGCCAGCAGTAGCTGCGTCAAATTTTGTTTCTTCCAGGCTAGGATCCAACTTGTAGGATTTCAACTCTGGGGGCTGTTTAATAGCGCCATCATCAACTTTAGTCTCCATCGTGTCAGGTGCTGCATAAATCGCCTTATCATGGCCTATTGCCTGCAGGAATACGTCGTTGACGGTCAGCATGATGGTCAAGCTATACAAAGACACAGCGCTTTTCATTGTGTCCAAAATCCTGTCCAACAGCAATGAATAAAATTAATCATGACATGCATGCTGTTTTAATTAATTCTATTCACGCATTTGAAATAAACGTTAAATTAGTTTAGATGAGTAGTTTTAATTTACATTATCAGGCTATAAACAAATATTGTCCGTAACTTAAAGTAATGAAAAGTTGACTATTTAATATACTATGGTATTAAGTTTTACTGTTATTTACTTTAGAAAATACTTACACTTCTTTTTTACAGCTCTCTGTATAGTTTAATTAAATTGTTACGTTAGATGTTTCTTGCATTTAGGAATGTTGTTCACAAACTGATCTTTGAGACGTACACATACGCGTAGAATATTCATGTAAAGGTACGGAGCATTCAGCTCTGCTGTGTTTTATATTGACATTCTAGGCTCGACACGACCATGTGATAGTCAGCATTGCTGTGTTTCAAACTGACTCATTGAAAATCATTGAACCATTCAATCTCTCGCATAACGTCCACTTGAAAATTGATTTCTGCTGTCGTCAAACTATGTATCTAGTTTTTGTTTATTACGACATAGTTTATTTTATGCCCTGGTTTGCCAACATTGTTTTAGATCGATCCCTCGGAAAAATTTGTCTTCTCAGCATTGATAGGTAACGAGTTAATGACAAACTCTGATAAAAGACCCAAGGCTGTATATACAGAAGTTATCTCGTCCTAACACAGCAACAGCTAGTGGTTCGCATAAACACTTTCCTTCAAATGTCATTGTTGTCTCTTTTTGAAGTTCATGCCTTTCCTCCCCACCCCCGTCCTCCCATCTTCATGACACACACTGAAGTTACCTCTTTCCATTTGTAGATAGGTTGCGTCCAAAATAAACCGGGAGTGATCTCTCCTAAACTTTCTCGAATATTCTAATATAACACTACGTATGTTTACTTAAACTTTTAAAAATAGAATAAAATCTAGTAGAAAAAAAATTGCGCACCAAGCGAGCACCAAAACCAAATGTGCGTAATAGTGCGCAATATTATTAGTACTTTATAAATTTACATGCGTTTTTTGAGAAATCGGAAATAGCGTAAATTAGTACTTCCGGTCAACGGAAATTACTCAAAATGTGAAAGAAGGTAGAGAATTAGATCTTTTACTTACATGTGAAATTTCATTTATCTATCTGAATTAGTACTCAAGTTATAGGCTTTTGAAAAATTCAAAGTAGAATAAACCGGGAGTGATCTCCCCTAAACTTTCTCGAATATTCTTATATAAAATAACAGGGGATGGGAACTCGGGCTATAGACATGATTTTTAATCCATTTTAAATTCTTAAAGTTTTAAAAATAGAATAAAATCTCGTAGACAAATTAATTGCACACCAAGTGAACGCCAAATAAAAAAGCGCATAATAGTGCGCAATAATTATTAGTACTTTAAAAATTTACATTAGTTTTTTGATGAATCGGAAGTAGCGTAAATTACTACTTCCAGTCAACGGAAATTACTCAAAATTTAACAGAAGGTAGAGAATTAGATCTTTTACTTACATGTGAAATTTCATTTATCTATCTGAAATAGTATTCAAGTTATAGGCTTTTGAAAAATTCAAAGTAAGAAAAGTACCACTTCCGGTTATCGGAAATCGCTCAAAAGTTGATACGGATCTACGGTTTTGATAAAATACTTATATATGAAATTTCATCAACCTAGCTGTAACGGTTCTCAAGTAATCGTGTTTACACACGGACAGACAGACAGACACACACACACACAGACACACAGACATACGGACAAGATTGCAAAATTATGTTTTTCCGTATCAGTGAGGTGTAAAACGTCGAGATTTGTAAAAATCTCGATTTTTTTTTGCACGATTACAATACTTTCTCTATACTACGTATATACGAGAAAGTAAAAAGGAAGCCCCTGACTTAACCTTTAACTGTGAAGTTTCTTTTTTTATCTAACGCTGATGGTCGAGGCCTAGAAATCGTGGGTCACTTTACGATATATCTCAAGTATCAGTTTTACTTAGATATAAATATAAATGCATTATTTGTAGATATAAATCGTAATACAAGGAATTAATCGTTCGCACGACACCACATCTATCTCTTTACCAATTATCAATTTTGTGTTCCATTTACAAGTGGTCTATTTAATTCAATCACTTAACGATGGTTAGTTTATATAAAGCCCGGCCAGTGTAGGCTAGATTTCGTAACTTTAAGCACGATAATTGAGATGGTTATAGTTTTCTCGTTGGCTGAAATTTAATAGCCCCCTTTGACTTAAACAATTCCTGTCAAATTCGGGTTTAAGGAAAAGACACCACCCTCTTTGCTTTTAGATTGTACGACAATAAATATTCTACCATATTCTTTTCGACATTTTTAAATTACATTTCTGAAGACAGGCTTCAAAAACATATTGCCTCCCATTCCCCGTTAATCTTCTTGTTTTGTTCAGTTATAGTGCCAGTAAAATTATTGTATATCAGCGCATTCTTAAACTTGTAAGATTTAATAAAGTAAAAATTTTAAAATAAAAAGGTAAAAAATGTGTGTGTGAAATATTCGAAGAAAAAAAAACAGAATCATTTTGCCAACAATGTCGTTTCAAGTCATTATATTCTTACAGACCAATCGACGAACATGTGGTATAATTAATTTGCATTAATAAATTCTTTTCGTTCTTTACACATTATTCTTAGTTTCTATTCTTTTCATTCTTTTAGTTTCAGATGAAATGTTTCATTAAATACTTCAATTCGCTCTTTATTAAATTTTCTTGGGTATTTATTATGAAGAGATTTTATTTTTAACAAATATATTGTTCTTCTAGTTTTATTTAAATTTTATATGATATCGAAATTAATTTTACATCTTTATTTAGAAATCATTTACAGTAAAATCTGGGCTAGACAGTGAGCACTATGAGTTTGCATTTATATTGTGTTTTTGTTATGCGTGTTGCGTTAGCATTAGCGTTTGTGTTTTCGTTTTCGTTTTTTACGTTTGCATTTGTGTTTGCATTGTGTTTGTGTTTGCATTTTGTTTGTGTTTGCATTGTTTTTGTGTTTGTGTTTTCTTTTATGTTTGTGTTTGTGTTGTGTTTGTGTATGTGTTTATGTTCAGTTTTGTTCTGTTCCCAAGTTGGTGTACATTGAAAAAAAAAATCACCGTGGAGGAGCACGGGTATGCAGCTATTCTATAATATAACGCTGGTTGTAGTGTGTCAGTCCTTCCGTCATCGCTATAGATTTGGGAACCGTTTGGAAGTCTCTCCCTGGGCGCAGACGCCCGGGTAAACGTGGTGTTCGGCGGCGGTTTAGATTACGACGCGAGTTCGGGGAGGAGAGATGTCTGGGCGGACGTTCGTGAGAGTGTTGGCTCTCAATATTTTTTACTCCAATTTAATTTTCGTGAATATCCGTATTCACACCAAAGTGCTACCGACACCCGCGCGCAGTGCTGTGCGCTAAAAAAATATCCACCTCTATGCGGGGGCTCCCATCCGAGCAGAGCGCGGTAAACTCTGAGGTAATATCCATATACCCACCGTGGCGAAGCACGGGTATAAGCTAGTGTAATAAACATTTTCATTTTTTCGGGCACAGAAAACGCCTATGTCGGGAAAATTGATAATAAGACTTACTTTTAATGAGTGTCTATTAATAGAAAACGAAAGTTGGCCTACGTCAATTTTTTTAAAGACTTCATCGATCATAGCATAAATACTTTAATTTTGGATAATTTTATAATCCGACAAGGTAAATGTTTAGACGAGGCCGCAGATTTTTGAAATGCCGTTTTGTAAGTGGTTTTACAAAACAAAATTCTGTAAAATACAAAATCAAACGAACGAAGACGTATACAAAGAAAATGGCGATATCATGACATAGATTTACGATTAAAAACTTACATTCTGAAAACAACGAATTAAATAGGTTATGTTGTATTTTTAAACGCATTATACGTTACGGTATGGCAGGCCAGCATGTCTACGGCCGGGAGTGTCGTTAGGGTCTTAAAGAGATAAAATTCCATGTTTTATTTTGTGGTATTATAATTGAAGAGCAACGTTATTTCTTGTTATATGCTTAAAATGATGAGCCATAATTACATAAATGTTTTAATTAAACAAAATTTGAAAATCTAAAAACAAAAATCGAATATCAAATTTAAAAAAAAAAATCAAATATTAAAAACCGAAAATCTTGTTTTCGAAATTCCGCAGAGCTGTTTTTCAGTCGATTAGAGTGATGCTCTTCGTGGCTCTATTGAAGCAACGTAGCGTAGCAGGTTGACGGGATCCACAAGCATAAGTAGCCCGTCTTACTCCCTTCCCAAGGGATAAAGACAAAGACGACCTCGCTCATTTCTCAACCAGTGTGGCCCGATTACACTGCGCTGTTTTCAACACTGAGGGCAACAGGGGAGCCACGACACACGCTGCTCGTGTTCAAACTGAATCTGCAAGCCCTACATGGACGATCGTGAAGAACAAAATATAATAACCAGTAATGACATGCATGAACGAACTTCAAAGGCAGCACGTAATGAGCGCGGACTAAACAGGGTTTTCCCATTGAACTTTGGTGACGTTTTGTCCCGACTGCCGAGAGAGCCCTCCCGATCGAACCACCATAAAATCGCATACGTTTTTATTTACTCTTAAATATACGTTTGGTTTTTTTTTATTTTTATCTGGCCAACTAGGAAATGTTTGTACTCTTTCGCATACGCCAACAATAGAACGTGAGGAAAATGTTCAATAAACGCAAAGTGCTAAAACGTAATCAGTATCAGATAATATTTTCACTTAGATACCTAGAACAAATGATACCTTTTAATAACAGTAATGTCGAAAGAAACAATTCTTTTAAACGTTAATAATTATGCCAGGGGAGGTAACCTAAAAATTTAACTCATGCTAAATATTGTTATTTAAAAAAAAAATTACGCAGATGTGCGAGTCAGATTTTTGTTGAATAAAACGGCTGTTTGTTTGATAAAGCCAGTTGAAAAATCGTTTGTGTTTGCTTTTTTTTGTGTGATTGCATTTGTGTTTAAATTTGTGGTTTGTGTTGTGTCTGCGTTTGCTTTTTCGTATGTGTTTCTGTTTGCGTTTGCGTGCTACATTTGCGTTTGGATTTGTCATTGCGTTTTAATTTGTGTTTGCTTTTATGTTTCCGTTTTCGTTCGTTTCCTTTTGTGTTTGTGTTTGCGTTTGGGTTGTGTTTGTGTGTGCGTGTTGCGTTTGTGTTTGTGATTTCTTTTGTGTTTGTTTTTGTTTTGTTTTGTTCTATTTACAAGTAGGCCCTAATTACAATTATACTTAGTATGACTAAAGAGAGATAACAAACATTTTTAAAAAAACGTTAAATGTTACAGCAAAATAAACGCAATATTTAACTGCTGTGCAAAAGTAGAGGCGGATTCAGTAATCTTTAAGTCGAGAGTTAATTGCTTCGGTCAAGTAATAACCAAGTTCCCAATGAGATACAACTATAATGTTATCTTCATGAACTGAGTGCACTAGCTCCAGCGGCAACTGACAGAGAAGATTTTTTTCCACCAATATGACAAGTTTACCTGGGTTGTCAGGGGTCACGGAGTACACCGCAGCTTTCATTGTGAACATGGCCCAATCATCGTCATGGAGGAATGGTTCGCTGCAGACGAGGATGGCCCGCCAGCTGGAGTTGATGGCCTCAACGATACCTTGGGCCATGGTGGCGCCACCTGGAAGGTCACGGTCACGAATGTGTGCTGTGTAGCCAAGCTGGTCTTCAACAAATGACCTAAGACTTTTGCAAGCAAACTGATAATCTGTACTTGTATATCCGATGAACACACCAATAGGATAATCTTTTGCAGATTTGAGCTTAAAACTTGTAAAGATGTGTAAAATCCGAGACAAAATATAAGTTTTATTTTTATGTATAAGAATAAACATCAAAAAGCCAGTCGTAAGAATAAAAAATAAAACAAAAGCCAGCGTGAAGAAAAACGGACCAACACAGCTACGCCATATATTTTCTAAATTACCGCAGTCTAATGTATATGCAAGTATTCCAATATTATTAATGCAAGAATAATTTCCGTTATTATCTAATTCAACATAAGTTGTTTGCATCCACTTCAAAAATCTTAAACTTACACATCCGCAGGACAAAATATTGCCGGCCAACAAGAGCTGAAACTTGCCTTGACGTTTAACCAGTCCGTCTAGCTTATCGGTAGCCGTTTGATCAAGTAAAGAGATGGCGTTATCACGTAGATCCAAAACTTGAAGGTTTGGAGTTAATTTAAGATCAAATGGAATATCCTTAAATCGATTGTTTGCCAGGATTAGGTGTGTTAAGTTCAAATTATTAGAAAACATTTTCTCTTCAAGTAATGAAAGCGAATTTGAAGATAAATCTAAAAACTGGAGATTTGTCACTTTCTGGAAAAGTCTTTGGCCATAGTTTGAAATTAACCATGGGGATATCAAAACATTTGCCATTGAAAGATTTTCTAATTTAGGAAATGTATCAAAAAATGATGCAGATAAAACACGGAGATCTGTATTTGAAAGGTTTAATATTTTTAACCCATCAAGTCCATATAATTGTCCTGTAAAATATTGGAAATTGTTTTTTGAAATGTCGAGTTCGATAACTCGTTCAGCACCTTTGAAGTAAATAATCTGATCCATATAGGCAGCTGAGATAACATCTGTGAATATTACACGACGAAGTGAGCTCGAAACGTAAACTGTATATTGAGGGAATTTTAATCCTGAACGATTTGTTTTGGGACGATTTGTTTGGCTCCTATAGTTGTCTAAAGCACCGAATTTCGTTTGTTGTAAAATTTTTTCTCTTTGATTGATAGGAATTTCTTCAGGGTCTCCTTCAATTTGATCTTTGCTTAGAATATGTGACATAACCAACTCTTTCAAATTTGATAACTTACAAAACCGCAATAATGCAAATCTTAAACCAAAAATAGGATTTAATGAAATGTCAAAAGTTTTTAAACATCTTTCCCACGTTTCACTCCATAAAGCGTCTGTTGTTATGAGAAAAATTTGATTTTGTCGCAGAATGACTCGACTAACGCAAATACTTGTCAAGTATCGTGTGTTATTGGCGTTTAATATTCCAGTGTGGTGATAAAAGTCGTACACATTATCAAATTGTTTAACTGAAAGTCCGGTAAAAACTAATTCATCCATCACAGAATTATTTAGTGGAGCCAGGAGACGAAGCATTTTTTGTGTGCCGATTCGAAAGTTGCAAAAGTCTAAAAATTGAAGTTTTTTGAACGGCTGTAGAATTCCGTTTGAGATGTTCACCATGTTATCCATTTGTGTAATACTCAGTGAAGTCACCTGCCCCACTGTCTCAAAACTTTGATTGGTTATATAACTAGCTTCCCCTGTGATTTGTAAACTTTCCAGACTGGTCAGGATTCTAAAATCTGGTGGGAAATAAATTTCCATTCCAGCAGTGTTTATTGTTAGAAGTTTTAGATCTTTAAGGCAACCAAGTAATTTTTTGGGGTAGCTATCGTGTCTCTCGTCATTGGCATTGTTCATTAACAAAAGTTGACGCAGATTCTGCATGACACAAAACACATTGCTTGGCAGGCTGTTATATTTTAAGTTGTTGTTTTCCAGGTTTAAAAACTCCAAGCTTTCCAACCCAACAAAGGCGTCCGGCTCAATGTCTTCTAGGATGTTGAACGATAAGCTGAGATACCTGAGCTTTGTTAAGTTCATGAACACATTGTTCGGGATCGTCTTCAAAAGGTTCACATCTAAAAGAACCGTTGTGGCGTTTTCTTGGAACAGAAGAAAATCGATTTTATTTATAGATTGATACCGGCAATCGACTTTTATCTCACCCTTGTCCACGGTCACCGTACAAGGATATGATTGGTTGCCGGCAGTAGCCGCGTCAGACTTTGTTTCTTCCAGGCTAGGATCCAACATGGTGTAGGATTTCAACTCCGGGAGTTCTTCAATATCGCCATGATCAAATATAGGCTCCATGGGTGCTTCGTGGCCTATTGTCTGCAGGAACACTTCGTTGACGGCCAGTACGATGGTCAAAATGTACAAAGACACAGCGCTTTTCATTTCATAAGGTCAAAAGGTCAATATTCCCTGTGCCCAGAATCCTGTCCAACAGCAATGAATGAAATTAATTATGACATGCATACTATTTTATCTAATTGTATTCACTTTTGGCGTAACGCATTTTAATTAAACGTTAAATTCGTTTAAATTGGTAGTTTTATATTAGATTATTAGTTTATAATTTTTTTCTCATAAAAAACGTTTTAATAACAAGCTTGTATGTAATAATACAAAAAAGTAGACAATAAATTACACACTATCATTTAAATTATAAAGAAAAGCGTGTGAAATTCTCCTGATATGAGCTATATATATATATATATATATATATATATATATATATATATATATATATAAATTGTCGAATGATCACCCTAATATTGTGTAAGGTCTTAGACCGACCCTGGAGGGTAACAAAAATTTTTTTTTTCTCCGTCGGAATAATCCCTTAGGGAAGTTAGATTTGTCCAGATGCCGTATTTTCTCTTATAAGCATAGCAATTGTTAGTGGAAAAGTAAACGAAGGCTAGATCTATGTCATTTGGTCTATATTCACAGAAATTCACAAAGTACAGCATTCATTTAAAAAAGTATTTTGTTATAAATTAAGTTATATAAAGTAATGAAATTGTGAAAAATAACTGCGAAAGTTAATTTAATATCATTTTCGATCATTCTTTTAATCACCTTAGAAGTTATAAGTTTGCGAATATTCCACTAACGTTTTTATATCATAAAAGTACTGTTTTAACGTTTAAGCACACCACACAACAGCCATCACCAATTAAATAATATTTCAAATTTTCAATTTTTTTTTAAAAACCTAAGCGAAGCCAGGCAGTATGCCTAGTATACTTTAGTATTAAGTTTTACTGTTAATTACTTAGAAAATACTTACACTTTTTTACCACTCTCTCTATAGTTTAATTAAATTGTTACTTTATGTTTATCTTGCATTTAAGAATGTGGTTCACAAATTGATCTTTGACATCTATACATATGCGTAAAATATTCAAGTAAAGACACGGAGCGTTCAGCTTTGCTGTGTTGTATGTTGACCTATTAGGCTCGACACGACTATGTAACATTCAGCATTGCGGTGGCTCAAACTGACAGACACATTAAAAACCATTGAACCATTGAATCTCTCAAATGACGTACATTGATTTTTGCTGTCGCCGAGCTATGTATCTTGCTATTGTTCATTACAACACATTGTATTTTATCTCCTGGTTTGCCAACATTTTTTTAGGTCGATCCCGGGCTTGACTCCTCGGAAAAAAATTGTCTTCTCAGCTTTGATAGGCAACGAGTTAATGACCAACTCTGATAAAAGACCCAAAGCTGTAAATATATATGTTATCTAGTCCTAACATAACAACAGCTTGTGAGTCGCACAAAACTTTATTTGAGATGTCAATGTTGTTTCTTGTTGAGGGTCATACAATTCTCTTTCCCCCCCCCCCCCCCCCTACCTACCCCCCCCCCCCCTCATCCTCAAGACGCACAGTGCAGTTAACTCTATCCAGTTGTAGACAGGATGCGTCAAAAAATAAACCGGGAGTGATCTCCCCTAAACTTTCTCGAATATTCTAATATAAAATTACGAGGTATGGCAACTCAGGACATAGACAATATTTGTTATCCATTTTTAATTACTTAAACTTTTTATAATAGAATAGAATCTCGTAAAAAAAGAATTGCACACCAAGTGAACGCCTAATAAAATGTGCATAAAAGGGCGGGATATTATTAGTACTTTATAAATTTACATGCGTTTATTGAGAAATCGGGAATAGCGTAAATTAGTACTTGCGGTCAACGGAAATTACTCAAAATTTGACAGAAGGTAGAAAATTAGATCTTTTAATTACTTGTGAAATTGCATGCATCTATCTAAAATAGTACGCAAGTTATATGCTTTTGAAAAATTCAAAGTAGAAAAAGTACCACTTCCGAAAGTCTCTTGTAATCGTGCAAAAAAAAAAAATCGAGATTTTTACAAATCTCGACGTTTTACACCTCACTGTACGGAGAAACATAGTTTTGCAATCTTGTCCGTTTATCTGTGTGTCTGTGTGTGTGTCTGTGTGTGTGTAAACACGATAACTTGAGTACCGTTACAGCTAGGTTGATGAAATTTCATATAAAAATATTTTATCAAAATATTAGATCCGTATCAACTTTTGAGCGATTTCCGATAAACGGAAATGGTACTTTTTTTGCTTTGAATTTTTCAAAAGCCTATAACTTGAGTACTATTTCAGATAGATAAATAAAATTTCACATGTAAGTAAAAGATCTAATTCACTACCTTCTGTCAAATTTTGAGTAATTTTTGTAGATCGGAGGTAGTAGTTTACGCTATTTCCAATTTCTCAAAAAACGCATGTAAATTTATAAAGTACAAATAATATTGCGCACTATTATGCACTTCTTTATTTGGCGTTCAATTGGGCTGCAATTCTTTTTCCACGAGATTTTATTCTATTTTAAAAGTTAGAGTATTTAAAATGATTTAAAAATCATGTCTATATCCCGAGTTCCCATCCCGTGTTGTTTTATATAAGAATATTTGAGAAAGTTTAGGGGAGATCACTCCCAGTTTATTACTCAGATGGTTATAGTTTTCCCGTTGGCTTGAAATTTATTAGCCTACTTTGTTGAGACCAATTCCTCTGATATGTGCCTGCAAATTCGCAAAATAACTCAGGTGCAAGGAAAAGACATCCCCCTCTTTGCATTTATACATAAAGATTATACAACAATAAATACTCTACCATATTCTTTTCGATATTTTAAAATATATTTCGGAAGACATGCTTCGAAATAAATATTGCTTCCCATTCCCTGTTATTCTTCTTGACTTGTTCTTTTATAGTGGCACGACAATTATTGTATATCAGCACATCCTTAAACATGTAGGATTTAAAAAGTAAAAATCTACTAATGATAACGAACGTAAAAAAAAAAAAGAAATTCGAAAATAAAAACACAATAAATTTAAAAAACAATGTAGTTTCCAGGGAATTCATTTTTTTACAGACAAATGTGCGAACATATCCAAATGTGCAAAATGATATTAACTTAATACTTTCATTTAAATGATGTCATAAAATGCTTACCTGTTTTATATAAAATAATAAACTAAGACGATGAAAATAATTTTTTAAAACAATAAGTCTAATTATGTTTCGTAAAACGAAATCAATAATGTTTTGCAGCTCTATTAAAAAATATATTTAAATGAATTTGTATTGCGTTTTTCCTAATAATACCGGAATATTAAACCAGGTCTTTGAGCATTTTCAAAATTTTACTTTTGCAATCTGAACTTTTTAAAAAGTACTGGAGAAGGAATTTTAGTCCATTTAAGATTACCCAAAAGACACAAACTTTTAAGAAGTTTCCAATAAATAACAACCATTTTTTGTTGTGTACAGATAAAAACGACGCTCAGCAAGAAAGTTTTTAAAAATTCTGTTCGCATACAAACTTGCATCTTTAAGTTTTACTGGGTCGTAGGTAACTTTTGGAATATCTACTTACTGAAACGTTAAACTGCCAGATAGCGTAGTATCTCTAGTCTATATACGTAAAATGAATTTATGTTTGTGTGTTTGTTTGTTTGTCTTTTATGCATTACTATACCTTTCATTTAATTTTAACTTTGGGAAGTTGTTGCGAATACTACTGTAGAGAGAAATATAAAATTTAAATTTGCAGGCAAAATTTTTCTAGACATGATATTCCCTCTGTGAATCGAAATTATTAATTTGTTTGCCAGTGATCGTCTTAGATAGCATATTTGCCCTGCTGGACGTGTGTCCGCCATTAAAGTTTTATATTGCGTTGTTATTAATGTGCAGTTGATATTTGCACGCAATGGTATATATAATTCAAGGCATGTGCTAAGTGTGATAATAAAATAATATTCTTCCAAAGAAAAACGTCGTTTATTTGGGTAGATTGAACTATTCAAACACAAATTAGAAGAAAACATCATTCCTTTATTGTTGAAATAATTATAATAATAGTTTTGCTATTCTGTTAATATATCACTCTGTCACTCATTCCGTAACGCCCTATAGAAAACACAAGTAAAATAAAAACGTTCACAGTCGAGGGAAAAACAAAAATCCGCCCCACCCCCTATTGTCTGATGAGTTGCCTAAAAGAAACTCTGAATGCCACTTTTGATAAGTTTGAGCTTAGGTACAAGGTATAGGGGCATGACATACTATTTTATTTGGTAGGAATGTGCTGTATCTACGTGTAGGTCAAGGCTAAATTCTGTTAAACTGCCAATAACTGACAATAACAATAACAATAACGATAACGATAACGATAACGATAACGATAACGGTAACGGTAACCGTAACCGTAACCGTAACCGTAACCGTAACCGTAACCGTAACCGTAACCGTAACCGTAACCGTAACCGTAACCGTAACCGTAACCGTAACAGTAACAGTAACAGTAACAGTAACAGTAACAGTAACAGTAACAGTAACAGTAACAGTAACAGTAACAGTAACAGTAACAGTAACAGTAACAGTAACAGTAACAGTAACAGTAACAGTAACAGTAACAGTAACAGTAACAGTAACAGTAACAGTAACAGTAACAGTAACAGTAACAGTAACAGTAACAGTAACAGTAACAGTAACAGTAACAGTAACAGTAACAGTAACAGTAACAGTAACAGTAACAGTAACAGTAACAGCAACAGTAACAGTAACAGTAACAGTAACAGTAACAGTAACAGTAACAGTAACAGTAACAGTAACAGTAACAGTAAATGTAACAGTAACAGTAACAGTAACAGTAACAGTAACAGTAACAGTAACAGTAACAGTAACAGTAACAGTAACAGTAACAGTAACAGTAACAGTAACAGTAACAGTAACAGTAACAGTAACAGTAACAGTAACAGTAACAGTAACAGTAACAGTAACAGTAACAGTAACAGTAACAGTAACAGTAACCGTAACCGTAACCGTAACCGTAACCGTAACCGTAACCGTAACCGTAACGATAACGATAACGATAACGATAACGATAACGATAACGATAACGATAACAATAACAATAACAATAACAATAACAATAACAATAACAATAACAATAACAATAACAATAACAATAACAATAACAATAACAATAACGATAACGATAACGATAACGATAACGATAACGATAACGATAACGATAACGATAACGATAACGATAACGATAACGATAACGATAACGATAACGATAACGATAACGATAACGATAACGATAACGATAACGATAACGATAACGATAACGATAACGATAACGATAACGATAACGATAACAATAACAATAACAATAACAATAACAATAACAATAACAATAACAATAACAATAACAATAACAATAACAATAACAATAACAATAACAATAACAATAACAATAACAATAACAATAACAATAACAATAACAATAACAATAACAATAACAATAACAATAACAATAACAATAACAATAACAATAACCAATAACAATAACAATAACAATAACAATAACAATAACAATAACAATAACAATAACAATAACAATAACAATAACAATAACAATAACAATAACAATAACAATAACAATAACAATAACAATAACAATAACAATAACAATAACAATAACAATAACAATAACAATAACAATAACAATAACAATAACAATAACAATAACAATAACAATAACAATAACAATAACAATAACAATAACAATAACAATAACAATAACAATAACAATAACAATAACAATAACAATAACAATAACAATAACAATAACAATAACAATAACAATAACAATAACAATAACAATAACAATAACAATAACAATAACAATAACAATAACAATAACAATAACAATAACAATAACAATAACAATAACAATAACAATAACAATAACAATAACAATAACAATAACAATAACAATAACAATAACAATAACAATAACAA